GAACATAATGTACAAAAATAAGTTTTCTCGCCAAAGTTCTATTTTATGTAAAATATTACAGCCATCTTGCTTCAATGATGGAAACGAATCTTGCCCACAAATTCTCATATTCACATATTGTATTTCTGATGTCAATTCCAGAATTGAGTAGAAAAAAAAAAAAAAAAAATCAAATTATGAAGTGAAAACCCAACCAGGAAAACTACTAACTCTATAAGGCCAACGATACAGAGTATACACGATTACTGTTCAAATGTAAACAAGCTAATGTGGAATATGAATCCAAGTCAATGTATTCACACCTTGACCATTGTCTCATGTATGGCAGGCTTGTCAAGATACTCTCTGGCTTTTGCAGCTGCATAAGGCTGATCAAATACATATAGTAATGTTTCCATCAATATCATCTAAACACCATGTTGATAAGATGTATATACAAAATTTTGATCACCTGAAGGTCTTCATTATTTGTAACAAACTGCACAACACGAAACCATATGTCATCGCTAACAAAATCCCCAGCCTTGTCAATGAGCTGAAGGATCACATCCACGTACCTATGAAGAATCATATGGATGATATCATATAGACATCATTTTACAAAAATAATCTTGTAGCTTCAACAGCGCAGAATTACTTAATAACTACCGATGAAGGCAGCAGGTATAAAACTAAATTCCCAAAAGCTCCACAAGAATATGAAAACAATATAAACTTAGCTTATATCCTCCTGCATAACATTAACTAACTTTGATTTTAAAATCAGTGATAAGCCTATCACATTCATTTTGTGTATCACTTGCATTGCATTATCCGATGGATGTACCTCCAAAATCAATCCTAGTTCTCTATTCCTATTAGGGCCGAGCATGTTAGCTTAATGTTTTTAATTGTCTGTCGGTCTACTATAGATATCCTTTTAACATAGCAGAGCTAAAATTATCCACAATTTTCTTACAGTCTCCAAAGGAAGTCATTCTTACCATGAAAGATCAGGAGCAAATTTTTCTGCAAGAATAGCAGCTTTAAGGGAAAGTTCTTCACGCATTGCAAAGTCAGCAGAGCTGAGATACTGAAAACAGATGCAAATCAGTGGCATGCTCAGATTGTGCTTCAGATGATTAACACTTTCAGTAGATAACATAAAACAATTGCTAATATAAAAAGCATCCCAGAATCATACTAAACAACTAGACTATATTCACCATTCTATACCTGCAACAATTCTTCAACAATGTCCTTTGCATTTGAAACATCACACATTCCATATAGCAGATCAAGGGCACGTCTACGAATACTGGGGGAAATGTTAACCCAAGTTAGTAAAAGCACACATTCTCCATTACAGGACATTAAACATAACTTTCTGGAGATGAGAAACTTCATAAGTGAATACAATATGCACCAATTGTTAACATATACTTAGTTCGTGAAGAAATAAATAATTTTCCGAGGAGAACCACAGCCACATAAATCTTGTTCAAGAAAAAAGATGACTTATTGACAAGGTATCAGTAACACCATCCATAAGTCCTGACACTCTCAGCAAGTAACCAAACCAGCTCAAGAAACTCAAATTTAACCTGATGTCGGGGTCCTTCAACGAGGTGATGATCTGAGCCTGATGTCTTTTGATGATATCTTGCACATCTGTTACCATTAACATCCGAGTCATATTTTCCTGCAACAGAGAATTGTAAAGTCTAATCAGTCAGTCATAGGCCAGCAACCAGGTCATAAATTGCCTACACAAAATACTGTATCTGAAAAGAAATAATGGATAAGGTTAGTGATTCAACAACTTACCAAGCCAAGATATCGAATATTTGGTTCACGCACTGCAATAAATTTTCCAAGTAGAGCAACACATTGAGACATCATCTCCTTCTCAGCATCAAGATGCATGACCTGTGATGGAAAATTAGACATGCAATTCTCAATAAAAGCTCCTCAAATTCCAAAACTATGTTTATATTTTTGCTAGGCAATTGAACTCAAAACCAACCTAGTCCATCACAATTGTTTTACCCTAGCCAATGCTGTAACAGTATATAGATTTTTCTTCTCATCAAATAATGAATTCTTACAAGAAGAATAATAGAGCAGGTCCTAAATACATGTAATAACAAGGGAAATTGATTTCCAGAAATGAAGAGATGACAGTTTCATAACCATATTGAACTATCAAGCCAGGAATAGAGGGGCTTAAATTAAACAGTTCCCAATTTGCAGGCTAAAAGTCCTATTTGTTCCTTTTATGCATGAGAACACGAGAGAGAAAGATAAGTTTGTCCATCATCAATAAAAGTTCACTTCAACTAATATATCTAACCACACATAGTTGAAGAAGTGAGCAACATGCAGGAATGCGTAGCCCAAGTTTGTTTGTTTCAACATAAGTTTGCTTCTCTTCCCATGAAACACAAAAAAAATGTTACTGAACTTGGAGAAAACTACTTGGAATCTGGATAAAGATACTGACATCTTAAAGTTTCAGCTCAACTAAATATATAAACAGTTGTCTAGAAACAAAACACTAATCTTATAGTAAATAGCAAATTTCATTCACAAAGAAAACACTTTCTGATGCAAACTTACAAGAGCAAGGGCTTCAAAGAGAACGGCATGTGATGCATTGTTCTTATTAACATTTTTTACAACATCAGTTCCCATCAATATCCGTTGTAACACCTAAAATCACAAATCCAAATCTCATTAGAGTCACATGGGCAAACAAGGAGAAAGTTATAATCCTTGGGAGAAGTTGAACCTCGAACAATGATCTTCTGGTGTTTGGATCTTCAATGGTGGGAAAATACTGAAGTGCTCTCATTGTCTTGACCTGTACTAACAAAACACTAATCAGCATCGGATGAACTTGTTAATTATACATACGTTACAAATTACTTAAGGCCAATTACATAATTTATGCTGCATCAAAAAATAAATGTTAAATTAGCAAGACAATGTTATTTCAGAAATTGCAACAGCTACACTTTAAAAACAGAATCTGTTCAAAAAAGGAGCATGTTGCAGTCAAAGTACAAATTGATGATCCATTTTTATGAGTCCATTATGAAAATTGAGCCATCAAAGAATGCCTTAGAAATAGTGTTAGGATGAAGACACGACAGACATACATCTTTTAATCAGTGAATGTGACAAAAGCTCACTGTTTCCAGAATGGCTAATTCACAAAAGATTACAAATAAAACATCAGTACAATTTGATTTCCCCAGGAAGACCAAAGATGTTTGCGCAATGCACTGTAATGACCCCTTTTAATGAGAATGGATCAGAACCAAAAAAAAAAAAAAAAAAACATATCAATTTAAAATTACTTAACAATATTTTATTAAATGTTTTTCACTCTTCAGCTCTTGATCAGACACAGGCCAACCAATTTGACTGGATCTGAAAACCAAACTAGACTTCTAGGATTTTTATATATTTGAAGTTCCAAACTTATTCATTCATTGAAGAGTCCACAACAAAATCCAAACTGATCAGACAGACCAATTAAACCACATTTCAGAACCAGTAACGATCACATGCAGATAAGTTGAACAAGAGGAGAAAATGAAGACAAACCTGAAGCCAGGGAGATGGGATACCATAGTAAGTGTATTCTTGAGGAATATCCTGGTTCCTAGCAAGCCGCTCCAATATTTTAACACACTTTGGAAGAGAACTCCAATAGGCTTCATGGTGATTAGACACCAAAGCAACAAGAAGGCTCATAGAAGATGTCAAAACACCAAGATCTCGTTCATCCAAAAGTTGTGCCATCCGATCCGCCCTGCAAACCCAAAAAGAAAAACGAAATCTACAAATTTAAACTCATATTAGAAAGTAGGTTGTCATGAAGAATGTGATATTCAAACATACCAGCCATCTACATTGACAACATCCGGATTTTTCCTATACAAGCGCAAGAGACATAGTGCAGCTTTTTTTCTCACAAGCGGTCTGCAGCTACTTGAAATCTAAGACAAAAGAATGGGTGTTCATCAACCAATCTTTGAAAGTCCAGATTAAAAACAACAGATTCGAAATTATTCTTACAAGTAGTTTTTGAACATCAGGTGCCAAAGATTCTGCAAACTCTCTCCCACCAATATTCCCAACCTAAAACATAAAATACAAATACAAGTGGTAAAGGAAATCAACAGCCAACACAACACAATACAATGCAATCCTAACGAATCCTAACGGGGAAAGAAGGATAGAAAAAATTATTCAAAGACGATATAATGACAAGTGTACAAAAGCAATTACTTCATACAAAACAGCTGATAAATCCAAGAAGAATGAGATCAAAAAGGAAAAACTGTAATATGAAATTTATAACATCCTAGACAAAAGGATATTGTACATAACAATCGGTCATACAAAATAAATAAAAACAATTATACTTTTTTTTTAAGAAACTATGACAACATCATTGATTGAAAAAATAGTTACAAACAAGTTAACAAGTTGTCCACAAAAGTCAAGGTCCATCTAAAGGATAATAAAAAGATATATACAAAATAGACCGAATAGTTCAATGAAAAGCTATGGACTACTCAAAAATCAACGCCACACAAAATAAAACAAGACATACAAAGAATATCAATCAGCCAAAAAAGCTCAAGTCCATTTAAGAGATTAAAACATAAAGTTAATGCTTCTATGTGATAATAATTACTGTCAATAACTAAAAAGATGCTTGAAAATCTCAATCACGCTAAGACTTTCATCAGTAGTTCCTTGAAAAAAACATCAGCACACAGACCCACTTACATAGAACAAATATCCAGACGTCATGCTCTCAAATAGGCATCCTTTGCCTATAACAGAAGAAGCCCCAAACAATTGAAGAAATTTTATGAAGATGTTTCTTAATTGTCAAAGGTCTTAGAAAATATAATTAACTGGCGATGGCTCTATTAACTTGCCACTATGTATTTTGGAACAAGAAAGAAAGTGCTATACAAAAAGAATAAAAGTTCTAGCACAAGTTCATAGCAGGTTAATTCAAAACCCACATTTTGCTTCAGTAGTTGACCACCAATGCATAAGTAATGGAATGTTGTATGCATGGAAAATTGCTCCATGATAAACAATGAACTCCCAAAGAGCAACTTAAAGAAGTAAAACAAATATTTTTCCACTTAAATAAATTGAAAATTAAATGCAGCAGAATGGCTTACTACCTGATAGAAAGAACATATAGATAAAAATAAAAAGGAGGTTTTAAAGGGTTTCTTGCTAACATACCATAGTCAAGGCTAGGCACTGGAAAGTTTCATTGCGACCAATAATGTCATTCCTTACTGTATTTATCGCTAATCTCAGAAAATCATGATTCTCGTTGAGCAAGCATGACGTCACAATGTACCCAACCTGCAGCCAATTATAGCAAGGTAAAAATTTAAACAGTCACATTTCAGGCTAGTTATTTAAAAAAAGACAACTAGGGAGCATATAAGAATATCACAATGTATCCAATGCAACAACTATATCTTTTAAGAGAAAAACAAACTTTAATATGTAAAAAAGCTGCAAAACTAACAGATTCCAGAATTTCCAGGCCTCCAGTAATTTCACATACCATGATTCTGAGAGGAACAAAAATCTATACTCTATCAATCATATGATAAAAACTAGAAGAGGTTAGGTCAAAACCTCTTTCAAGTTAAGGTGAATAAAGAATTACAAGAAGCCTTAATATTGAATTGTTCAGCCACTATTTAACCCAAAAGCTTAAGCCCATAGCTAGGGACCCAACTATAGTATTTAAGCATTAACAAGGAGAAACTGAATTGCAAAGGACCTTACCTGCTTTTCTGGATACTTTGGTGCAGATATTAAAGAAACAGCTTCCATGTGACCAAAATCTACATCGTAACCCAGCATATAAATGTAAAGCATTTTCCAAACATATTTCTTCTTTTCATAAGGTGACAAACCCTGTTGAAATAGCATAACAATTCAATGACCAATTGCGAATGCTGTTTGAGATCATCAGCAGAAATCAAACAGATTTATAAAGAAAAAGGCGCAACATATAACCAATACTTTAAGGTTCAAAGCAACCAAAGTAAAACAGTGAAATGAATACAACTAGCAACTGAAAAGAGAGAGAGAGAGAGAGAGAGAGAGAGAGAGAGAGAGAGAGAGAACACATGTGATGCACAGACACATCAATTTTAACTTTAACACATATGGCTATTTTCTTCAAGCAGATATGTGAGGAGATACTTTCCCATAAAAAGACATTACAACGTTAAACAAAGAAAGGCAAGGGGATACGCCAGGTGAATGAAGCTAACTTGAATATCAAGGCCAAAGTAATGCCAAAAGGATCACTCAATTCAAATGCATCCAAATGAAAAAGGGGGCAGAACCATAATTTATGTGATTGTATACAATCATTTAAAAATAAACAGGGATAAAAAAGATATGAAAGGAAGAGAAAAAACAAATCTTAAGTCCTAAAGCTCAAAGCATCAATCATGATTCAGAAAATTTTGAGTAACCTCAGAAGCATAATACAATTGATTAAACTTTAATGCTGTACCTGATCAAAATTAAATNTCCGGGTTTCGCTGGGGCTTTCCCTATCTTTGACTTGAGAACATCTTTCCGTTTCTCATTGTCCGCATACATCCCTACAGATTAGAGTTTCTATCAGTTCAAGATTCTCTTCCGTTGTTATTTGTATGCAATTCCATAATATTGGAACCAAATAAATGAAATATTGATAGAAAAATTTACCATAGCCATAAATCTTGATGCCAATGCCAAGCATGGACTTCTTCCTCAAACCAACACAATTCAGCTGCTTCCCATCATCCAGCTTGACGGGAAAGGAAACCCCAGCTCCTCAGCTTTCTCATTAGTTTCCTGTTGAGCAGCCTTGGCTCCGTTCTCACAATTCACCTTCTCTTTTTCCAAATTCTCATCCATTGCAAGCATTTGAGTCTTGGCAATCAGATCCTCTGTCGTGGTTGTCATTCTTCAAAATGAAATAAAAAACAGATGGTGAATGTTTTTGTGCTGGTGCTGGTTGGGATGCAACTCCATAGCAAAGCATGAATTCATGTAGGGAAGGAAGATAAATAGCATTGACTGACATTTTATTATGTGTCTCATTCACCCACCTCGATATCACCATTAGAAAAGAGAATTTAATAAATTTAATCTCTATTCTTAAGTCTGTAAATCTCCCCCTGATTTAACAAATTTTATGAAGCCAAACTGATAATTCAACAATAAAAGGGAGAATTGGAGATGAATTATGAACTCATATATCAGAAGTTTATACTAAGATAAAAAGAAGTGAATTCACACATATCAAGAGCAGAGAGCTCACATTTATGGTGTTATTGAACAGAGAGAGACCTTGAACTCTTCAATCTTCCGTCATAGACTAAGCATTGAATCATTCATATCTTTTTAGCTTATATGCACCTCGACTAATCCTCCAGAATCCTAAATCATTCATATTTTAGGATCTGTTTGATACAGCTTATTTGAATAAAGCTTTTTTTATTTTAGCTTTTATGAAAAATCGTTCACTATTTGATTAAAACAATGTAAAAGAGCTTTGAAGTCTTAAATTATCAAAAAAAGACTTTAATATACACAAAGCATAACAATTTGATCCACTCCCGACTTTCCTTGATGAGCTGTCTGATTTTTCGAGGTTTGAAACATTTGAGCTCAAGCCCGGTGTTTTCTCCCCTTCCCTTGCAAACCAGTTTGTTTTACTCTTAAATCTCGAGTACACTCCAAATGTACTCCAAACATGAAGAAGTAAACCATCATTAGATGAACTCATGGTCAAAAAGCAAAAAAAAAGGTTCTATGAGTTTTTGAGTTTTAGTCTCCCTAGGTATTAATAGGGATAACCATTGAGGCTCTTACCCAACTAACAGTTCCAAGCTTCAGAGGATTAGTTGAGGTGCGTATAAGCTAGTCTAGACACCCCCGATGATAAAAAAAACAATTAAAAAAAAGGGAGAAGTGCATGAAGGTTCTTTTTACCTTGTTGCCTGCCCCACAATCTGTTGCCACCATTGGAGTGAATCTGAAGGATTTTGTGCAGGAGTGGTCCAAGGCAGTTGAATGCTTAGGAAAGGCTCGACGGGGATGGTTACTGGATTTTCTGCACGTAGGGGGTTTGCTTATTCCATAACTCTACGGAAGCACTTCTCTTAAGAAAGTGCCTTACCAGTTATTTGCCGGTATTGAGATTATAGGATTCTATACTGGTCAAAATATTGCTTTTATTATTTATTGTATAGAAATTAAACTGAAGCTAGTTCTAAGTAGAACCTGTGAATAAAATTAAAAATAATTGCCAGCCCCAAAGTCCAAGACTCCGTGATCCAATTCATATTCCAAACATAAGGCCCTATAATCGAATTGCAGTTTTAGAAGCGTCAAGATTGCCAGTTTATCTGTGAGGAAGTCATTTGGAACTAAATGTCAAGTGAAGTGCAATTTCAAGGCGTGAGGCTGATTGTGGCCTGAAACAAAATTAATTTTCATTAATAAATGGACCATTGGGCTAACAAGACAACTGAGATAAACCATATGAAGGTGTTCTTCTGAAAGGCTTCCAATTTAATCAACAGCTAGCTTTGAAATGGTATCGGATTCTTTTTCAATGGATACTTATAAAAGAACTGGAAAAGAAGCCACTTGTAGTATTCAAACAGGCAACAGCAGCAAACCACCTGCAACAGCAGCAAACTTGTAAGCAAAAAGATTACAAAAGCTTTAACATCGATCTTTAGGTTTATTTATTAGTAATCCATTCCCAATTATCGGTACATCTAACAAATTGATAAGAAAATTGGTAAGAAAAATCATAACCACCTGTGATAATGCTTCTCACAGTGTTCTGCAGTCTATACAACAATGAAGCCATCCCATATCTGTAAATCTGCACAAAGAAAAAGAAAGATTACAAGCTGTTAATTCACCTAAAATTATCCAACATACGGATTCTCAATACAAACACGGACCATAAATACGATTTTTACCTACACACAAGGCCTCAGTACACCAACAAACAGAGCCTAATGGCGCGGAAAAGCTGAGAGCGACTCAATAAATATAACAACCCACCTGGTCAAGCACTCATTGCTGGGTCTAGCTCTGATACTGTTAATTTGGGGCAAGTGAACTGAAAAGAAGCAAATCAGGAGAGAATTCGAGAAAGATTAATGTGAAGAATGAATTTTCATTAATTGAAGAGTCTGTTACATTGATATATCTACATACATAAACTTATAACTACTAACTAACAACTTAACTAACTATAGCTCAGCATAACTAATTCTTAACTAACTAAACTACCTCACGTGTGCCAACTTGGATCTTAACACTCCCTCTCAGATTGGCATCTTATGAATATTTTTCATACACAGCTTGGACAGAAATTTTTCATGTTGCAACCTTCCCAAGCCTTTTGTCATTACATCTGCTAATTGTTCTCTAGTTGGTATGTACTTTGTAAGTATCAAGCCACTTTGAATTTTCTCTCTTATGAAGTGACAATCTATCTCTATGTGTTTTGTTCTGTCATGAAACATGGGGTTTGCTGCAATTTGCAAAGCTGCCTTGTTATCACAGTAAAGCAATGCTGAAATTTTGGCTTCAACATCAATTTCTTTCAGTAAACCAGTTACCCAAATCAATTCTGCAACAGTTCCAGCCATACTTCTATACTCTGCTTCTACAGATGATCTTGCAATGGTATTTTGTTTCTTTGATTTCCAATACAAAAGAGAATCTCCCATCTTAATGCAGTAACCTGACACTGACTTTCTACTAACAGCACAAGAAGCCCAATCTGAATCACAGAATGCCACCAGTTCTTTTGTACTTTTTGCAGACATAAGCAACCCAAGAGCTGGTTCCTTCTTCACATATCTTATAACTCTTAATGCTGCTTCGAGATGTGATTGTTTAGGAGACTGCATATATTGACTTAAGGTCTGGACAGCAAACGAAATGTCAGGCCTAGTCATGGTTAGATATAACAATCTTCCCACCATTCTCCTAAACATATAGGATCTGTCAGGAACTCATCCTTTTCATCTGGTGGAAATTTCTGATCAAACTCATATGAAGTCAATTTTAAATTATGTTCAAGAGGGGTGTCCACAGGCTTCGCAGCAGATAATCTAGCCTCTGAAACCAACTCAAGTGCATACTTCCTTTGATTCAAAACAATCCCTTCAGAGGACCTAGCAACTTCAATTCCAAGAAAGTATCTAAGATGACCAAGGTCCTTGATTTTAAAATTGTCTTGCAGAATAACCTTCAACTGATCTATCATTTTAATGCAACTTCCTGTTATCAAAATATCATCAACATAGACAAACATAATGACCATGTTGCTTCCTTCTCGTTTGGTGAATAATGAGTAATCATATTTACTCTGCAAGTAACCATTTCTGATCAGGGCTTCAGTAAGTTTGTGATTCCATTGTCTACTTGCTTGCTTCAATCCATACAAGGATTTGAGCAATCTGTAGACGATGTAATTCTCCCCCTGAGTGCCAAATCCTTGAGGTTAAGACATATAAACCTCTTCATGGAGATCTCCTTGCTAGAAAGCATTATATACATCAAGTTGGAAGAGTGGCCAAGCATGAATTGAAGCTAATGCAACGACTGATCTAACTGTAACCATTTTTGCCACTGGGGAAAAGGTCTATGTGTAATCGATGCCAACTTGTTGGTTATAGCCCTTGGCCACGAGCCTGACTTTGTATCTTTCTAATGTGCCATCAAAGTTATATTTCACTTTGTAGACCCATTTGCAGCCAATGGGCTGTTTGCCTGCTAAGAGAGGAACAAGCACCCAAGTTTGTTGGCCTCTAATGCATTGATCTCTGACTGCATAGCATTAATCCAATTGGGATCTTGAGAAGCTTCAACAAAGGAAGTAGGTTCCCTGATTCAAGAGATGGAAGATAAGAAACATCTGTAACATGGAGATAGATGAGCATAGAAAACAGAATCTAAAATAGAGTAATGAGCTGAAGGTGTGATATAATCCTACAGCCAAATAGGAGGTTTGTGTGATCTAGTAGACCTTTTGACATCTAAAGGGGCAAGCACTAAAGCTGGAGATGAGGTTGATGTAGTGTGAATTAAAGGAGCATCAGGGTCAAGACCAGTAAAAGGGTCAAGGTTGAAAGGTAAATCTGGTGAGGGTGGAGCAGGAGATTCAGAGTTGATAGAAGGCAAAAAAGCAGGATGTAAGTCATCAAAAAATGTAGTAGTGAGGGGATCATTTGGAAATAATGGGACATGAGAATGTTGCTTGAACTGAAAAGGAAATATGTGCTCAAGAAATCTAACATCTCGATTGACAAAGAAACTGAAATCCTATAGGCTAAGTAACTTGTAACCCTTTTGTGTTGAAGAGTATCCTATGAAAACTGATGGCACAGCCTTGAATCCAAACTTATCTCTGGAACTCACATTAGAAGCATATGCTAAGCACCCAAAAGCCTTGAAGTGATCAATAGAAGGAGGAGAACCAAATAGAATTTCATAAGGTGAACTGCCCTAGAGCACATCAGTAGGAATTCTATTAATGATATAGCAAGCTGTGAGTATGCATTCTCCCTAATATTTAATTGGAATGGAGGCCTGAACTCTCAAGGCTCTAGCAAAACTAAGCAAATGCCTATGCTTCCTTTCTACTACCCCATTCTGCTGGGGAGTGTAGACACAAGTTCTCTAGTGGATAATCCCAAGAGAAGTGAAGAGTGCAGTACATTAAGAGTTGAGAAATTCTAAGCCATTATCTGTTCGAATGTATTTGACATTAGCTGAAAACTAGTTCTTGATAAGAGTAAGAAAACTTTTAAGATGGACTATAACTTCATGCTTGTGTGTCATGAGAAAAACCCAAGTAATCCGAGAATGATCATCAACTATTGTAAGGAAGAATTTATGATGATTCGAATGTATTTGACATTAGCTGAAAACTAGTTCTTGATAAGAGTAAGAAAACTTTTAAGATGGACTATAACTTCATGCTTGTGTGTCATGAGAAAAACCCAAGTAATCCGAGAATGATCATCAACTATTGTAAGGAAGAATTTATGATGATTATGTGTAGGGGTGTGATAGGGTCCCCACACATCCATATGCAGCAAGTGAAAACATTCAGAAGCTCTTGTGGTACTGACGGGAAAAGGTTGTCTTACATGTTTGGCAAGAGGACAAATGTCACAATGAGAATCAACATCAGAAATAGAAGATTTTATTTAAGAAAAATATTTCAGTTTTGCATGTGGCACGTGGCCAAGACGTTTATGCCAAAGCTGGCTTACAGAAGCTAAACAAGAAAAAAGCAAAGCATTATTCAAGGCAGAAGTATTAGCCATTGAGGCATGAGAAGGCATGAAGAAGTAGAGGCCCTCTGATTCTTTACTAATCCCCAGTATTTTGCCATTGGAGAGGGCCTGAAATATGCAAAAATTAGGATAGAAACTAACAAAGCAAGACAAGTCTTTGGTGAGCTTTGATATGGAGATCAAATTAAACTTGAAATCTGGCACAGATAACACATTAGTCAGTTTATGATCTGGACCAATGTTACAAGATCCAATATGTGTCACAGTTTAGTGATATCCATTAGGTAGCCTAACTGTAGAAGGAGAAATTGTCCCCATCAAGTTGTTGAGGATGTTTAAAGAAGCTGTCAGATGGTGACTAGCACCTGTATCTAATATCCAGCAGATTCCATGATCTAAAGATGAAAAATAAGAGTGAATACCTGCCACATTGACATGTGCATCACTTGGAGGTAATGAAGGTTCTTTTTGAAGCAATTTCAATATCTCTACATATTGTTCTTTAGATAAAATTGGAGCTGCTTGAGTGCTATTTGGAGTGGCTATAGAATTATTGTGATCGGATGATTCAGCAATGGTAACATTACTTGCTAAAGGCTGAGTAAAATTCTTTCTTCTGGTAAATTTAAAGTCAACGGGGTAGCCAATGAGCCTGTAACAGTTATCCTTTTTGTGTCCTCTCACATGACAATGCTCACAAATTATATTCCAATTTTTCTTAGGTTTAGTTGATTGCTAGTTTGATGATGAATAGAGAACTGTTGGCTCAGATAAGGACTCAACAATAGTAGCAGTGGTTAAATTCCTCTGACTTTCTTCAGTAACAAGCATAGAATAGGCTTGGTTAACTGATGGTAAGGGTTGCATCATGAGAATTTGACTTCTAGCATGCAAGTAAGATTCATTTAAACCCATCAAGAATTGGAGCAACTTTTGATTCTACATGTGATCTACATAAATCTTTGACATAGAGCATTCACATGAGGGAAGTTGGACAATAGATGAATACTCATCCCATAACAGTTTCAGTTTGGAAAAATAAGTGGAAATAGATGAATTTCCTTGTACTAAGGTCACAATTTCTCTATGTAACTGAAAAACTCTGGATCCATTCACTTTATCAAATCTTTCCTTTAAGTCTTTCCCCACCAAATGTGCACTTGAAGCATAAACAATGCCACTTAGAAGTTCTTTGGTAACTAAATTCATGATCCAGGAAAGAACTATAGCATTACACCTATCCCATTGATTGTGTAAGCTAACTGGAAAATTGTTCTTTGTGCAAGTTCCATCAATAAATCCAATTTTATTTTGGGCTAATAGTGTTATTCTCATAGATCTGCTCCATAACGAGTAATTATCCATACCAATCAATTGAAAAGAAACAAGAACAGCACCTGGAGTGTCAGAAGCATGCAGGTAAAGTGGATGACTAAAGTCAATTGATGAACTTGATTGATCATTTGAATTATTCAAATGAGACAGCATTTCTCCATCAATTGTATTAGTAGCAGCAGCCATTTTGATTGAAGTAAAGTGACAATTTCTTGATCGAAGAAAAGGAGATCAGAATCTTTGAGCAAATGAAATCCAGAAAAGAAAAGGTTGATGAACAGAGTGAAATTGATTGAATTTCTGCAAATTCCCAGATTCTTCAAGTCCTAAAACCTTGCTCTGATACCATGTTAATTTGGGGCAAGTGAACTGAAAAGAAGCAAATCAGGAGAGAATTCGAGAAAGATTAATGTGAAGAATGAATTTCATTAATTGAAGAGTCTATTACATTGCTATATATATGAATTTCATTAATTGAAGAGTCTATTACATTGCTATATATACATACATAAACTTATAACTACTAACTAACAACTTAACTAACTACAGCTCAGCATAACTAATTCTTAACTAACTAAACTAACTCACGTGTGCCAACTTGGATCTTAACAGATACCATGATAGAATTTGAGGTGGGTCTGACTCCTCACCCAGTAAGGTCTTGTTGAATGGGAGAATTACCCCCTCCTATAAACTAGTTAGCTTGAGCGTGCCTAGTCAGTGTGAGACTCTAACCGGTTCCCCTGAGGTTAATGCTATTAATAGAATCCCCTGAAGTTTTTTAAAATGACAAAAACTGTAGGTTTTTTTTTTTTAATAACTGAGGTGTCCGGGTCAACTTACGTGTATCCCAACTAATCCTCTAGGACCCTAGAACTACTAGTCAAGTACAAGCCCCAGTAGACACCCCTATTAGTAACCGTGGGGACTCAAACTCGGGAGACCATGCTAAATCTTTCTCTTGCTCTTTTACCCTTAAGGAAACTCGAACTTAGGAGATCATGTTAAATCATCCTCTTGCTCTTTTATCATCAAAGGGACTCAAACCTGAGAGATCATGTTAGATCCTCCTTTGCTCTTTTACCATTAGATCACCCGGTGGTGGTTAAATTAACACAAAAATTGTAGTTCAATTATCACAAATGTTGTCTTTTGTTTTTTCGTCCCATTTTCTTTTTATAGAGAATAACAATTAAATATAAAATATTAGTAAAAGATGAGAAAAGTAAGTGTTGCAGAAAAGATAAAATTACTATGAACACAAAGAAAACAAAAGATAAAGGGACTGCAACCTCCCAATCTCAATGGATAAAGAA